ATTTTTTTTATAGACTTATACCGTCCGCCAAATACCTTCCGATGAGATTTCATTTGATTAAAGCATTGATTAGACTATCAGAAGAGACGAATACATTCATCCCTGTCTTGTCTTTTATAACACAAGTAATTAACAAATATTTTATATGTTTTCTTATAGTTATTGTAATATTAATGACATCTAACGCTTGATTTAGGTTTTCGATAACTTCAATAAAATGAAGAAAAATAAGTCGAAAAATGAGGAAAAGAAAGAGATTAATATCGATGTATTGATTAAGATCTCAAATTGGGATACAAATGATTTTGAAATGAGAGACTCAGCTGTTAATAAAGTCTATGATTTGATTTTGCATTATTTGTCCACTCAATCACATCGGATAGCATTCCCCGAATTAGTTCACATCTCTATAATTAAAGTATGATTTTATTATTATTTTTCAAATATTTGTCTAACTTTTTTGTTTGTCTAACAGATCCGACAGTTTATAAAGCGCTCACATGTTGTACAACACAATCAACTGTTGAAACAATTATTGGATAAAATGGAGGAAAATTCAAAATTTATTAATGAGAAGCGATCTAATGTTGAATTCTCTATAAGTGACGCGCTTTCCATTGTATGTTAATGTTTAGCATTTTATATTTCAATATATTATACGATATAATCTTTTGGCAGAACTCGTGGGAAAGTCAGATGAAATGCGATGGAACTCCTCTTAACTCTTTCTATAATCAACGAAAGAATATTAATGCGAATAAAGATATTGTGAACATTAATCTCGATTTGAAGGCAAACACCGATACAAACACTCCGCCGACACAACCGTCCAAAAAGAGTAAACCCGACAAACCTCTCACTCCTGACAAACAAAATACGAAAACTATTTCAAAGAAACGAAAGTTAAATGAAAGTCAAAGTAACAAAAAAAGCGATAATAAGTCAAAAAGAGCTAAAAAGGCTGAGAAGAAAAGGTTATTGAATAAGAATAAGAGAAATGTATCGTTTGATGTCAACCAAACCCTCGATATATCTTCAGATGAATGCGAATAATCATAATTGTATTTAACATTGAAATAAAGTTGAATTAATTTCCAAAAAAGTCTAATCAATCGGTGTTTTTGGGGTTAGTGTGAAAAGTGGACGTAATTGTTGTGGTAATAGTATTGACAGCACTAATGAATGCATGAGTTGTTTGAGCGTAAAGTGTTGTGCCGTACGTATAGTCGACGCCCTATTCATAGGCTATTCATTCACTATTGATATCAATAATAATAACATTTTAATTCAGTTTGTTTGACTCAATTAATCGACATTTGCTTTGATTTGGTTTATTATTTTGAACACAATTAGAGGTAATCATGAATTGAATGACCGGTCATATAGTGTTTGTATGGACTGGTGTTGTGTTGATAATGGCATGAATTGATTGCCATTTTAGTGATAATAATGACAACAAATGGCTAATTAATGATTGATTCAAATGTTTAACGTTTTTCTCTTTTGTTTGCATTAATGAACAGCTGTTCCGTTGAATCGCTGTTTCGGACGATCGACCGGATTATCGGCTTTTAAATTGGTTTTTGAGTCACATTTGAGTTATCAATCGCTTTGATAATTGAAGATAAGATGCAAACAATCAAATGTGTTGTCGTCGGCGACGGAGCCGTCGGAAAGACATGTCTATTAATATCGTACACAACAAACAAATTTCCCTCAGAATACGTGCCGACGGTTTGTATTGACACACGTTTTGGTCACATATGTTGTGTCCGATTGAATGCATTGATGTAATGACAATCACATTGTAATGGATGAACAGGTTTTCGACAACTATGCGGTGACTGTCATGATTGGTGGCGAGCCCTACACCTTAGGACTCTTCGACACCGCCGGTCAGGAAGACTACGACCGCTTACGGCCATTGAGTTATCCGCAAACCGATGTCTTTTTGGTCTGTTTTTCAGTCGTGAGTCCGTCTTCTTTTGAAAATGTGAAGGAAAAGGTATTTCTATATCCATAACGCGTTTACAGCTATTAATACATGTAATACTTAATACGATTACCCGTTCACTAGTGGGTGCCAGAGATCACACATCACTGTCAAAAGACGCCGTTTTTATTAGTGGGAACTCAAATAGATCTTCGCGACGACGCGGCAACTGTTGAGAAGTTGTCCAAAAATAAACAAAAACCCATCACTTCTGAAGCCGGAGAAAAGTTGGCCAAAGAGTTGAAAGCAGTTAAATATGTGGAGTGTTCGGCACTGACACAGGTATGCGAGTCGTGTCCCAAATGAATGTAATAGTGATTGTATTAATTGATTTGTTATGCATTTTGATGGACAGAGAGGGCTGAAGAACGTGTTCGATGAGGCGATTCTGGCGGCACTCGAACCCCCAGAACCCAAAAGGAAGAAGAATTGTCTCATTCTCTAGACATATATCCCGAAGAGTTAACCCTTTTTTCCACAAATAGTTTTTTAAATTCAATTAATAACTCAAAGATCAGGAATTGTATTGTTTTTTATTGAAATTCTGCTCATTTCTAAACAAAATGGAGTGAAAAAATGTCACCAAATAATTGATAAAATATTTCAATTATTTATTCTTTTTTATGTGATTTATAATGAAGTTTATAATTATCTCATCGTATTTACCACTCATTAAACCCCTTAAAAGGCCTCAATTATGGGCGCATTTCGTAAACCATATGTACTGTTGTTGTGGTTTTCTTGTGGTTGTTTTGGTGCCAACAGTTTTGGATTAAGGATTTCTGATAAGCACTGGAATTACCGAAACATAAATCAATTATATTTAGTAAAAGTCAATCCAATTAATGTTTTCATTCAATTATATATGATTTCTATTTGAAACTTATTGATTGATAGGACTATAACTAATTGATTATTCAATATTTAATATCAAATCAAACAATAAATCTTTTCTAATTTGAAACAACATTTG